AAATGCGCGCGAACGATTGAATCGGGAACGTCCTTAGGGTTTTGACCCTTTTTTGAGAAAGAATTGAATTTTGTCCCTTTTTTGCAATTAATGAAATTAAGCCTAATTACTAATTAATTTATTTATTTAAAAGAAAAATGTGTTTTTGTTTTTTTTAATGTTTTTTTAATGAAATAAAATAAAAAGGAATTAAAAGTGTCAAAGGAAAAACCTAAAGTCTAATTCATTTTTATTTATTGTAAAAAGATTAAAATTAAACCTAATTAAACAACTAAATTAATTAATGAATTTATTTACAACAAAAAAAGTAATTGAAATTAATAAAAAATGTTTTTTTTGGTTTTCTGAATTTTATTGTGGAAAAATAATTAATTATATTAATTAAATAGTAATAATAATGATTAGTAAAGAAAATATAAAAGAGAAAAAAGGAAAAGAAAATAAGAACCCAGGGGGTGTATTGGCCCAGATGGAGGTTTGGTCTGGAATTCTGGCCCATTTGTTGGCCAATCCGTTTGGACTTTTGAGATCAGCTATGCCTGCGTTGACTGAGGATTATTGTGGTCCCTCAACATGAGCCATGGGATTTGCATTGGAGGCCACCTGGCAAGCTGAGCATTGGAGTCCATGGTGGAACATTGTTGGAACCCTGCATATGATTGCATTAGAAAAAATGTGAAACAAATATTGGGGGACTTGGGATTCGAACCCAGGTCCCAAGGGATTATGCTTGCACGCCTTAACCAACCGAGCCAGCTGTTTCAATTGATATAATAATAAGAAGTGATTATTATATCAGTAAATCAGCCCAATGCCTGGAAAAAAAAAGCGCGCGATTCTTTTAAACGGACGAATGGGAGAACGACATGTGGTCATCTTGATCCAAATCTCTGGTTTAGTTACCTGCAGATTTTTATCCGCAGGAAGTTCCGTAGGCCCTTTCCTAAAATCATCCTTAGGCTTCAAAAACGCCATCCAAACCCATGGTCAGGATCGTCCATGTCTCCTGATCACATCTATGCTTATGGTTTGTCCCAATTGTACCTGGAAATAAAATACCTAAAAACAATACGCACAAACCCTAGGTACGGGTATCATCATACAATGCCTAAAAATGAAATTGAATATTATGGTTACATCAGAAATCAAACGAAGAGTATGAATGTGCTAACTTTTTTGAGAAAAAGTGCAAGAATTAGGAGTTGAGGTTTCAAGTTCAGGGGCCTGTTCGTGGCAACTTACAGCGCTTGGTAGGTAGTCTTAGGATGCGTTTGTGATCGCCTTAGCTTCAGGGTATGGCAAGGAAGAAGGCTACGTGCTTAGTTTTGTCTGAAAATGCTTGCAACACAGCTTTTTGATCTCACACTTTTTTGACAATTTTTGAGTTTTGCTCTGGACGTTTGTGCACTCTCTAGGTTCTGAATTAGGTTTGTCACGCTTGCTTATGTATGTGTGAATGAATTTAGGTTAGCAGCTGAGCTTGAATCTTGGTGTAATTAAGTTTGGGATTCTTGTTGATCACCATTAAAGAACCTTCCATTTTTGAAGCAAAACCAAGATTTCATGCACAAAATAGCCCTAGCACGAGTTTGGTAGCTGGAATGTGGTATATGAAAGTTGTCCAAATCAAAAAGATGCCATTCCATTAATTTTTAGATTTTACTTGAATTATTATGGATTTAAAATGAATTAAATCAATAAAAATTAAATAAAATGGAAAAATAAATGTTTGGTCTTAAATTTAATCATGGGACACGTGGGTGTCATGACAAGGCTGAATCAAGTGGAAGAAACTGGGCCCTTTTGTCAAAAATTGAAGTTTTAAGGATAGTTGACTTTTGCCATTTCACAAAAATTTCCCAACTTCTCCAATGCATATCTTGCTCAATTTTGATCATATGAACATGTTCTTGGACATTTTGGAAAGGTCTTGAAGTCCTATAACCAATTCCTTTGGTCCCATGTCATTTGGATTTAGCAATCTCAAGTTATGGTCTTTGACTTAAAATGCCTTTTTGTTGACTTTTGAAAATGACCTATAATGTAGAAATTGATAACTTTTTGTGAGAGCATTTCTTGGACTTGGAATGTGAAGATGAGTTGTAGGAAATGTCCTCCCCTTCAAAATGAGCATTGGATGGGATTTTTCTGATGAACCATGAAAAGTTATGCCTTGGTCAAGTTACAGTTGACTTTTCAGCTGTCCAAAAATGGAAACTTTTGCATCTTGATGATTTTTGAGCCATTCTTGTGGAATCATGATCAAGGATTGATCAAATGATGATTGTGGCCTCAAATAAAGATGTTGACCAAGAATTTTGACTTTTGACTGTAAAATGACCATTTTGCCCCTGCAGTTGACTGTAGAGCAACTAGGGCTTTTGACTGTGCAATTTGATGCTGTGAGCCTTAAATTTTCCATGTAGGGGCTTGACAATGTATATGGGCACATGGGACTTGATTGGACTATTGAAAACCACAAATTCCTTGCAAGAACCAAAACCCTAATTTTGACTGTGTTAGGAGGCATTTGGACTGTGCAACCTTTTGAGGAATCTTGAAGAATATGGGAGGGAAAATTTTGGGGTACAACAGTAAGGTTACTTCATGGGGAGTTTGGGTAAAATTGCATCCGAACCGAGAAGGAACCTAGGTAAGATTGCTTTGTGGGGAGTTTGGGTAAAATTGCATCTGGATAAACTTCTGTTGTTTCGACAAAGCTGGTCAAATCTCTCTTATAATGTCCAAAGTCCATCCTCGAAAAGGACATGGTTTAACAATTGTGTGTAATTCACTTGCTGGCACATGTTGGATACCTGCATGCTTTTGACACTCCTGACAGCCTTTGGCTAAATCAATACAGTCTTTTAACATGCTTGGCCAATATACGCTTTGTCGAAATAACAACCATTTCATTTTATGGCCAGCTTGGTGAGCGCCACAAGGTCCCCTATAAACTTCATACACTGCCATGTATGCTTCAGATTCTCCCAGGAATTTGAGCAATATACCCTCAGGAGTCTTCTTGAATAATTCATTACCCATACAAACATAGCTCAAGGCCCCGTACTTTACTTTTCTGTCAGTACTTCCGACTGGATTTTCCAGATACCTTACGATTGGTTTTTGCCAGTCTGTATCTAACAAATTGTCAATGACAAAATTTTCAAAATTTTCTTCCAGACTATTTTCTGCCCCCTAAGCTTTTGGGATTGACAAATTTGTAGGTGGTGTCCAGATAACTCTTTCCCTTACTTTGACGAATTCCCTAAGCTTGTCTGTCGACACCTTATACCCATGATTATGGGTATGTGTGTAGTGCTCGCCACTTCAATGTCCTCCAATATTTGATTCACGGTTGCGAAGTATATCAATAAATATTCCTTGATACACTTATACTCTCATGTGATTTGCTTGATCACTAAATCTGAGTCACCTTTTATTTCGATTTTGGTTGCACCCAAATTTCGCAAGATTTTGAGTCCAATATTTAAGGCTTCATATTATGCTTCGTTGTTGGAACATTTTTCATCTACTCTACATTTGAACTTTGTTGGCATTCCTTTTGGAGACATTATCAAGACTCTTACGCCAGTTCCATTCTTATGGCTCAACCCGTCGAAATATAATTTCCAAGGATTCGTGTCTACCATATTTACGAATGGCTCGACTATTGCGTGGTCCACAATAAAATCTGCCACACTTTGGCCTTTCATAGCTTGTAAAAGGAAAATAAGACAAAGAAAACTCAGTTAATGATGGCGCCCACTTCCCAATTTGACTATGTAATATGGGTTTCGACAGCATATGTTTAATAACATCAAAGTGAGACAAAATATAAATCTCAACTGGCTTAATATATTGCTTTAATTTCATACATGAGAAGTACAAACATAGGCCCAATTTTTCAATTAAACTATATCTAGTTTTTGCATCTATTAATACTCGACTAAGGTAATAAATGGGTCTTTCAACACCATTATCATTCTTTTGGGCTAACATGCTTTCTATTGTGAATTCAGACGCAGTTATATACAATCTCATATTTTTGTTTCGACTAGGTGGCAGTAAGATAGGAGATTTTGTCAAATATTCTTTGATTGCTTTGAAAGCCTCTTGCTACTCTTCTCCCCAGTGGAATTTGTTTTATGTTTTGATCTTGAGTAATGGCGAGAAAACTTTCATTTTGCCACTTAGACTTGATATAAATCTCCTCAAGAAATTGATTTTCCCCAACAAAGATTACAATTGTTTCTTCGTCAAAGGAGACTTCAGATCTAAAATTGCCTTGTTTTGTTTTGATTGATCTCGATGCCTTTTTTTGTGTACTACGAAGTCTAAGAAGTCTCTTGCATGCACACCGAAAAACACATTTTAGTGGATTCTTTTTCAATCCATATTTTCTCATTCTTTCGAATGATCGTCGAAGATAGTCTAGATGACCATTGATCGAAAATTGCTGACTAACATCCCCAAAATCACATACATTTACCAATAATGCACAATTAATCAATTAAATAATTAATTATAATTTTAAAACTATTACATCCTTCATCTTATATTAATAATAATTTGAATACACCAATTTATCAATATGTGTGAAAGTGTTAAGTAGGACAAATATTTTAGGATGGAGGGAGAAAATATTATAAAAGTACTAATGGAGATACCAACATTTAAAGTAATAATTAACGTGAATAACGTGAGTTGTTAGTTTCGCGTGGTGTATGGGACAAGAAGGAATTGATCCAGCCATCACAGTCCGTAGAAAATTTGGAGAAAAAAAGTTGTAATAATTATTATTAATGTCTGTTTGGAATCTTACCAATTAGTTGCTTCTTCAAACTCAATTATTTCCACCATTCAAAGCAATGTTCTATTTACTTTCCCCTTTTTAAATCCTCTATGTCATTTTCACACTCAAATAATTTGCACTATATAAGACAAACCCTCTTGCAAATCACACTTAACCAAATATAACCATTACTACTCTTTTGTCAATGGAAAAAAACAACAAAACATCCTCAAACTTCTCAATTTGTAGAAAAATCCGTCAAGTACTTGCAACCAATCTTTCTTTCAAAACCGTTCTTCAAATGAAACAACAAAATCAAGAACCTAAGCCACAACAAATGAAGATAGTTAACATAGAAGGAGGAAGTGGAGGAGGAACAATCCCTATCACATTTGATTATTCAATGGTAAATGGAAATGCTTCTAAAATTGCTTCGCCACATGTTGGAATATTCGAAAGAAAAGGCGAGTTGGTTACTGATCAGAAGTTGGCCCAGTCCGAAACAGTTATCAGAGACGACCAACGTAATATAAATACTAAGAAAAAGATGATAGGTGAGAATTATAATGGGAAACCTTTGAAGGCTGGATTGGTGAACTTGGAGAAACAAGGTAAGAAATCATTAGATATTAATGATGCTTTTGGTGAGCACATTAAAATTACTAATAGTAGAATTGGAATTGTGCCCAACATTGGTAAGGGACAGAAGAACCATGTTAAAGATGAGGGTAATTCTTTTCACAAGATGGAAAATCTGAATGACCGTTTTTCAGATTTTATTAATGAAGCTAAGAAGAGAATAAGCACAACATAAAATGTTGGAAAGAGGTTAAGACATATAGTGTGAACATTCGTTTGGTGGTTTTCATTAATTATTCATGATGTTTGGAATCTAATTATATTATTATTCGTTGTTGAGTGGATTAGATGAAAAATAGTCTTTACGTATACTATACTACGATATATGTTTTCTTTCTTTCTTGTTCTATTTGCTTATCCAATTGAAATTGGAAAGCGTGATGGAAGCTACATTGAAGAGAATAATTTGGCTTCATTTGTCATGTATACTATAAGGTTCTAAGGATTGCTTATGTTTAGATCTTAATATGCTATTGTTCTTTGTTTTAGTTGTATGGTCATTTCGATTGTGATGATAAATTGATAATTGCACTTGTAACAAATGAAATATAATATTAAGAGATGAATAAAAGATTAAGCTAAATTTAATATTGTCACATTCTCATTGATGATTGAAGAATTGAAAGAAATACAACTGGGCTAAAATATTACTCTGAGTATCGTTCACTTGACTATCTCATATTATAATTAGATATTAAACAAAAATTCGATCGAGAACAAAAAAAAATAATTAAAAATTAGATGTTATATTGATAATACTGTAAATATTTTGTATTTATCTTTGTTAAGAGACATAGATAAAACAAAGACATTAATCCATTGATAATACTGTAGTTAAAAATTGTTTATTTATCTTAGATAGTGCTTCTGAACCAAAGTGATGCTAAATGTTCCAATAAAATTTTAAATTTTAAAACTATATATATTAGACAACGCTTTATAAAAAAGCGCTGCCTAAAGTTAAGAAAAAACGTTGTCTTAGATTCACTAAAGAAAGCGCTGCTATAGGCCCAACAGTAGAAAACGCTGTCATAGGCCCAAAACATTGCTAAAGCCACACTTTAGGCAGCGTTTTCTACTACAAAATTTGTTTTAGACATCATACTATAGACAACACTTTCTTCCAAAAGCGTTGTTATAGCTTTAAAAGAAATTTGACAAAAAGCGCTGCTAAAGGCTTACTTTAGAAAGCGCTTCTAAGAAGTGCTGCATAAGGCCATACATACCCACAAAGCACTGCTAAAGGATGTGTTTAGAAAGCGCTGTTATAGGGCATTCATCAGATTCCAAACATTATGAATCTCCTAAGGTCATAAATTTCTAATTTCTAAATTAAAAATACGAAAACCCTAAAACTCATTTTTTTTCTCCATATTCTCTCAAAGCATCTTTCTCTGCAACTCTGAATCTCTATTTCTCAAAACATCTCTCTCAAAATAATCCTTGTGCCTTATAGCTTAACTTCGTCGTTGTTCTTGTAGAAGAAGAGAGAGGGGATCGAAGACACATACCTCAACAATATCCAACAGAAATCTTCTCGTTGTAGGTAACTCAATTTTTGTTTCCGATTTTCATTATAGCTATGTTGTTGTTGCTCGTTGTTAAATTACTCTGAGTATGTGTGCGTTTCTTATTACTATTCTGCAAAATTATTGTTGTTTTAGTTTATCTTGCAAGTTTGTTTATGCTGAGATATGAAAAATCAAGTGAGAAATTCGTGAACCGAACTGGGATAAGAGGGATTTAGAGATTGAATTTCTGTTTGAATCACTCAGGGTTTGAAGATCGTATTGTGGTTTAAGCTTGCTACTGCTGCTGTTGTTATCCATCGATTGCTACTGCGCTCTCCATTTCGATTCGTTAATCATCATATCCATTTGTATCGATTCGTTTCACGAAATTTCAACGGATCACTTCAGGAAATAACTTCAAGGGTTCGATTGACATACTCTTCATCAAAGAATTCGATTTTAAGGTTCGAATCTACGTTTCTTCTCGTATATTCGGCTCGATTCTTCATTTTGGTTTGAATTTCAGGAACTTAAATGTGCTTAAATTGTTTTCATACATGTTTCTTTTATAAACTGTTATCATTATGTGAAAGATTCCTTTGTTTTCTGTAGTTGAAAAAATATTTTCTAAGAAATGATGTTGGTTTTGTTTTTCTTTTCTTATTAGGCCAGAGATAAAATTATGAGTTGTGGTATTCAATAGCTTAGCTTTCTAAAAGATCAGCATCTCAGGTTAGGAGTTTACAAAGTGAGGTTCATGAATATATTACAAGATACACTCAAAACTCGATTTGTTTTAAACATGTTTGAAATTGAATTAGTGAACCTAATTGTTTATGTGCAGTTGTTTCCCGATTTCATCGTCGCTGCTGCATCTTAGATTTCTCTTGTGAAGAGTGAAATTCAGATCGTTCAAAAAATTTTACACTGTGTGACTCCAGAAGTTGTTGACTTTTCTACAAGTAATTAGTTGTTCTTTTGTTATAGATGTGTGATTAATTATAGTGTTTTTGTTTAGCTTACTTAGTATTAAAACCTTGGATAAAAATGGATGTCTTCCAATCGATTATCAAAAGAGTACGAGAATGAGGTATTAGAATTTGTTAAGCTTGCTATTGAACATGTCAAAAAACCCTGTCGAATGAAATGTCCTTGCTTGGGTTGTTGTTATGGGGGTCGGGCTGTCGCAGTTGGGTTGGAATTGCATTTACTGAGGAATAGAATTGATTGAAGTTATACATGTTGGATATTTCATGGTGAGAAAAGTAACAGGAATGTTGAACCGAGGGATAGTACAACATATGCTTCAGACGACAATGGCACAAATACATATGATTGTGATCGTGTCGAAGAGATTGCAAAAGCACTTGAAGATGATCTTCAGGATTGTCCCAAAATGTTTGAGAGGTTGGTAAGCGATGTTGAGAAACCGTTGTATAAAGGTTGCACTAAACTCACAAGACTGTCTGCGGTATTAAAGTTGTACAAATTAAAGGCGGGCTATGGATGGTCAGCTAAAAGTTTCAGAGTTATTAGTTCTTATGAAAGATATGCTTTTGGAGGATAATGTTCTTCCTAATCGAACCTATGAGGCCAAAAAAATGTTTTGCTCTATTGGCACGAGCTATGATAAGATACATGCTTGTCCAAATGATTGCATTTTTTTAAACGAATACGCATCATTAAATGAGTGTCCTAAATGCGGTTTATATCGATATAAGAAAAAATTGTCTCCAGCAAAAGTCTTATAGTATTTTCCTATAATTCCGAGATTTAGACGCATGTTTCATAGTGAAACTTATGCAAGAAAGTTGACTTGGCATGCAGATGAAAGAATTATTGATGGAAAGTTTCGACATCCGGCTGATTCACCATAGTGGTAGTAAATTGATAATGATTATCCTGATTTTGGAGGAGAAGCAAGAAACCTTTGCTTGGCATTATCTACTAATGGAATGAACTCGCATGGTCTTCAAAGTATCTCACATACCACATGGCCTGTGATATTATGATTTATAACCTATCTCCATGGCTATGTATGAAGCGCAAGTACATGATATTATCTACGTTAATTTATGGGTGTTGTACCCCAAAATTTGCCCTTCCATTTCTCATTGATTTCTCACCACAAAGCCCTTGAAGCTCAAGATCCAGTTAGGGTTTCATCTGCTCAAAACCTCTCCTTGCACTGTTGACTCAAATCAGGGTTTGTGTTTGCACAAAGATGTTTTGACCTAAAATGCCTAAGATGACTTTCATGCTTCATATTGGACTCCCAAGTTTACCCATATCAAGTTTCAAGTCTTGATTCCAAGTTTTGCCCAGTCAATTGGACAGTTGACCTAGAAATCAACTGTATTGGGGAAAAAGTCAACTGTGGCCAATTGACAGTCAAACCTCATGAAATTTGACCCACATCAACATTATGAACTCATATGACTCATTTGATCAAGTTTGGATCACAATTCCCCAAGAAATTTGATCAGATCACCAAAAGGGCAAAATGGTCATTTTTAGGGTTTTGACTACACAAAGGCAATTTTTGACTGTTTGACCTAGCCAATGGCAAACCAAGCTCACACATGGACTCAAGGACCCCATGGAATTATCTTGACATGATCAACAAACTCAAAAGATCCCAAGTACACAGGATTGACAGTTGAATTTCCCAGTCAATTGATCAATTTTGACTGTATACTGAAAAGTCAAACTTTGACCTTTTGGTCAAAATCAAGAGTCAAGATTCATTTTTCATCAAAACTTGCCAAATCATGAAACTTGTTCACCAAGAAACCAAGAAATGCAAATTAGGGTTTAAAATGGAATTTTTCATCTTAGAATTTTTCTAAGTTATGGAAAACCCTAATTTTTCCCCAACTTTGCCCTATTTTTTAACCATGATTCATTTGGATTCAAACAAAAGTCAAAACATGAAAGTTGTAGCTTGTTTCATAATCTACAACTTTGATTCACAAAGTTTTCTCATTTGAAGCTTGTATCTCAAGTTACAAATTTTTGAATAAGGGCACTAAACCATTCTTAACTTAGTGAAATTTGACCTATTTTGACAAGGTTTTCTACCCCACTTCAAGGCCATTTTCCATACACTTCCACTTGGAATTTCAAATTGCACTTCAAATATGGATTGTAGTACACATTCCAAGCTTTCCAAAATGTCCAAGAACTTCTCAAACAACCTCATGGTTAGAGAGAATCGAATTTCACAATATAGCAAAAAACCACTTTGTTCATGACCAAGTTACATGTTCATAACCTTGCAATTTGAACTCAGCATGCTTTAGATTAGATTACAGGTCCTTAAACCAAGTTACACTCATAAATTTAATGCATATTCTTTGTGCCAAGACCAAGTTCTTTGAGTTCAAGCTTTGTCTAGAGGATTAATCCCAATTTGGAAAAAGTAAACTATCCATTTTTGCAAAAGTTCACTTTATGTCAAATTGAAAATCAAGCAAGTACAAACTAAATCTCTTTGGCACAAGATTATGGACAAATTACTCTGATCAAGAGAAGCTTTGCAGCAGGATTAGAGGTCCCCTACTGACCTAAAACATCAAGTTGCATTTTGTTGCTTAAGAGTGAAGAAAAGTGCCATAACATAACACAACTTCCATCTCAGCATAGACACACAAGAACTAAGTTA